TCTCTCTCTCTCTCTCTCTCTCTCTCTCTCTCTCTCTCTCTCTCTCTCTCTCTCTCTCTCTCTCTCTCTCTCTCTCTCTCTCTCTCTCTGTATCTCTTTTCTTTTTTAATTTATATATCAATGTCACACAAAACTCATTTTACGGCTGTTGTGTGGTGTTTCTTCTACAGGGATTATTCATTGCTGTTGTGATTGGGGCAGTTGCAGCAACTGCATTGGTTGTGGGAGTTCTATGGAAGAGCGGGCGAAGGAAGTCCTAGAATTTCTCAGTGAAAGCACTTTTTGCAATGGCATGTCATCATGGGCTGTATTCATGAAGAGGGGGCGAGCGGGAGAAGGAAATGTATCAAGGAGAGTGAAAAGGGGATGTCGAGAATGGCTCCTTTTTTCACTGATGAAATCCACAACAGTGTGCATGAGTGTGCTGCACCCTCTTTGATCTGTGCTTGTCTCAGCGGGCAAGAGGATCTAACACCAGATGAAGGCGATACTCTCCTACTACAGAGACTTTCTGAATGGAGTCCCGAATCTGGCCGTAATAGTGGTGAGATACGTCCTGGAAGGTCCTAGTTTCGGTCTACGTTCGAAGAGTGAGTGATAGGCCCATGGAGAGACGGCAGAAGATGATGGAGTAAGGAGTCTGCAGCGTAGAGTGGTCAGTACATGTATCAAGTCTCTGCAGACTGTGACATTGGAGGGAAACGTACGTTTTGCCCGTGTGCTTTGCGCACTACTTGAACGGCAATTTTCCTTTTGTATTCAACCTGAATCACAGACCGATTCATTCAGAAAAGTCCAACGTGTGAGTATGCGCTATTGTGCACTGCGAGGGCTTTTCTTGCCTTAGCTGGCTGTGCGACAAGTTGGCGACAACCAATGTCGGTGTGTCATGTGTCGCATCGTTGCGTCACAATTTTCCTTCCTTCATCTCCTTTCTCTTGATCACAGCCTGGCACAATACTTTGAACGGCAATTTTCCTTATGTATTCAACCTGAATCAAGGTCAGGTTCGCTAAAAAAAACCTCCGAAGTTTGAGAAATGCGCTTCAGCATACGGCAAGTCTCCTTTGGCCCCTGCTAGCTGTGTGATAGCTTAGTTGGTAGAGCATTGGGCTTTTAACCTAATGGTGGGAGGCTCAAATCCTGCAATAAATGCTTTGTTTCTCCTCCTTCCGACAACTCTCGCCATGCTGTCTGGCATCGTCTTTGCACTGTCCCTCACGTTTTGAATTCCAATCACGGTGGCCTTTTTAGCTCGGCAAAGTCGGAAGTGCGCGGGCTAGATGTGTGACAGCGAACACCATCGTGTTTATGTGTGGCATGTGTGGCATCTTCGCGCCGTCCTTTGAGGTACCCGACGGAAGTAACAGGCAGATTCACTTGACAAAGTCTGCTGAGGTGTGAGTGTGGACTAACACAGCGCATTGCAAGGCAGTGTTTACCTTGGCTAGCTGTGCGACAGCCAACTCCATCGTGTTATGTGCGGCATGTGTGGCATCTTCACACCATCATTCGATGTGCCCGACCCGAGTAACAGGCAGATTCACGCGGCAAAGTCTGGTGAGGTGTGAGTGTGGCCTAGGCAGTGTTTGCCTTGGCTAGCTGTGCGACAACGAATGTCGCTGTCTCACGTTTGCCTTGGTGTTTGTCTTTCCACTCAGGCATGGCGTTGTAATCTGAATGCCCACAGACGTGGAGATCCGCCATTGCTGATCGATTGCCTGTCGTTAAACGAGTAGATCGATCTTTTGCAAGGCCTTGTATGCAATAATAGCGCGGGAACAAGGGAATGTCTTTGCCGAGCTCTGTAGATGGACAGTCAGTGTGATGTCTGTCTGTCGACCATGCTCAATATGCAGCGGGGAGAACGTTGAGAATTCATTGGGATGCACCAATGGATGGGAGGGCCACTCCAGTCGTGTTAAGGTGTTCTTCAACAGGTTATCTTAACATTGTGGTGTTTTGGGGTTAGTGATTCATCAGCGAATGATCTAATCTTCCAGTGTTCCAGTGGTTTGGTATCCCAGTAGTGTTCTCGTGTTCTACCTAGACAGATAGGAGCTACAAGTAGACAGGGGATGCCCACCCTAGTAGTGTTCTAGTGTTCTGGTGGCTAGGTATATCAGTAGATGAGGGAGGGGCACTCTAGTATCCATTAGTAGACAGGACAGGGAGTGATGTGTAATCTAGCTGAGGGGTCCGTCAATAGGCGGTAAGGGTGTTCTAGCAGTGTTCTAGACTTCTAGTGGTTAGGGATCGATGCATCGATCATCTGGTTGTAGGGAAGAATCGCTTTGAAGCAGCCTGGGAGAGCACGATTGTTTTGCTTTGCTTTTCCTGTAGGCTCCTTGACTTTCTTTTTGTGTCTTTTTCTGTCCTTTCTTTCTTTCTTTCTTTCTTTCTTTCTTTCTTTCTTTCTTTCTTTCTTTCTTTCTTTCTTTCTTTCTTTCTTTCTTTCCTGCTGCTCATTCTGAAGCAGACAAAGTGCAAATGAAATGTGTTGCGAGAACTTGCGACCAACATCTATGGATCTCCCTATCGCCACTGGAGTGTTTTGTCAGAGACGAATCAAAAAGCGCATCTTTATTGACAGTCAGGCCCTTGCTCGGCGATAATCCCCCAAGGGTTTGGTCATGGTTCAATTCCTCATAAGGTTTGCTTGCTTGATCGATCGTATAAATTAACCGTGGTTAAGTGACAGGCGCCTCACTGACCTGAGGACTCTTAACTACTTGTGCGGGTTCCATTACCAATGCGAGGTAGATGCCAAAAAAAATGCAGAATGCTGACCAGATGCAGTGGTTTGGTTGCCCACTCCTTAAAAGTGTATACCGGTGGAATGATGGCTAGATACATGCAAGAGGTTTGTCGCTCGTGTGCTCTTGTGCCCTTTTCCATCTGACAAAACTCAGATATAGTACAATGCTGACCAGATGCAGTGGTTTGTGCGTGCACTGCCTTGTCATTCTGACGTTCTGCATGAATGGGCGCTCGTGAATTGTGATCTTTTCTATTGCATTTTAGTTTCTTGTTTTTCTTCTTTTTTTTTTCAGTTCCCCGTTTTTTTTTTTTTTTAATTCTTTGTATTTGAATTTACTGGCACACGGCGTCGGCAGTTTGCCATTGGTCGACAGCAGGAGGTTGTTGAATGGGTGCTCGTGATCTTTCGTTTTCTTTTTCTTTTTTTGTTTAATTCCCCGGTTTGTATTTTTTTAATTAAATTTTAATAATATTTCTTCCACTTATTCCAGACGTTGATTCTCTATTGGGTTGTTCCATTTGCAAAGCGGCGGTGGTGGGTTCAGGAGGATGGGTGTACTCCCTTGGTTCTTTCCTTTTTCATTCTTTTGGTAGGTTTTTTATTTTCCTTCTTTTTCAACAAGAATGAAAGAACACTTTCAGTAGTTGTTTGATTAGCGGCCGCCGAGCTGATAGTTGTGATCTCTGCATCTGGTCATGAATCAGATGAAGGTGCGTGTGCTATTTTGCTTGTCCGAAAAACACGTGTTTGTGGACGACTTTAGAGTCACAGGCATGCTGTTCATGAGGATGTATATATTGCCACGAGCATTAGGGACAGCGGAATGGTTGGGCGGTCAGTAATTTTCCGTTAACTAATTGGAGTGATTCTCTGCTCTTTCTGTTCGTCTGGACGGAGAGTCGTATTCATGCCGTTGACGAGGCTGTGTATATTGCCAGGAGCATCAGAGAACGGCGAAACGCTTGTCTGGTCAGTGATGTCCCCTTAACCAATTAACCAATTGGAACGATTCTCTGCTCTTTCTATTTATGCTTGTGACACTTTCTTCTCCTCTTTTTGTAACATTGGCCGTGTTCGTCTCTGGTTGGAGCTGGTCTGGAGCACTTTTTTTTTCTTTTTTTTTTTTGGCTTCTGGATTTCCACTCATCTTGGGGGTTTGTGCGAGAAGCATCTTGGTCCGGTGCATCCTTGTTACCTGGCTGCGGAAAACATGTACCAGTGTGGACCCGAGTGGTTTTGCGTCAAAGTTGCACCTGTTTTGCACCCAAGTTTCGTGCCCAAGTTTTGCGCCCGAGAGAAAGCCGCGGGTTGAAGCGTCACTTGGGGCGGCGGATGATGAATTTGTCGCTTGGGTGTTAGAACACCGCCTGCTGAATGGCAATTCCACCAGTCGATAGAAAGATGAGGGCTGCGACACACAACAGCCATTTCTGCCGAACGGGAACGATAGTCCTTGCAGCTCTCTCAACCGCAGCATGACCGCAGTTATAGCAAAGACCTTCCGGCTAATGGAAGCTACGGCCTGCAGCCGAATAGAATGCGTTGTCGTTATAGACTATATTTGGGGGAATTTCAAGCCTAGATATAGTACTAATGACCGGGCGTTCTATGTGCGCGACGATTGTATGATGGTAACCGAAACCGTCAACCGCAAAGGAGGTAGGTTAGTAGCTGTAGCTACAAACGAAATGACAAATAAGTTAAAATAAACATTACGAGGGGACGTGAATCGCCGTCCTGTAACCTGAGCTCATTTGCGGGGCTAGGTGGGGTCTTGGATCGGGGGTTTCGGTTCTGCCCGAGTCCTCGCTTGGCCAAGCTTGTGTCTCTGTCTGCGAGTTGTTGCAAAAAAAATAGAGTTCTGTTTTGGAGGACGACTCATTTGGGCAGTCGGTTGAGTAAAACTCTGCTGACGCAGTGAACTCTGCTTTCGACTGATTGAAGATGGATGACCTGTGATTCCGAGGCTGCGTGGGTCTCTGATTGAAGATCGATGACGTGTGATGCTGGTGCTTTTGCACTTGAAGGGAAAATTCCTTTGACTGCGGAGTTTGGAGTGAGGTGATGCAGAGCATGGATTTGAGGAGATCTGGGGGATCCTTTCTGCACAACAGCAGTCACGGAGATTATGTGACAAATTGTAACTATCGCCCCCTCCTGTTGGTATGTGTGTCTATTGCCCCTTCACATGAGAGAAGAGGCACCAGGAGTTCTGGCCACGGTTGGCCATCCAATAGAAAATGTGGTCCCTTCGGAGTAGGTTTGGTCGGGTTGCCCTATAACACACGACCTCCTGAGTGCCTCTCATGTGCTCCACCAACTGAGCGAGGACGGCGGCCCTGCGAGTGCTCAATTCTATGCCCTGCAGTTTTCTCAATTTTTGCTTGTCCGCTTGCAGACAGATTGCAGAACAAAAGGAAAAGAAAGGTTAAACCACCAGTACCTCGCTCAGCTATCGAGTCCGAGGCTCGGACTACTGGTAGCCCGATTATTCCCAGTCATTGGACTTTATTGCAGAGCCTCGGACAACCGGAAGTACATCACAGGAAAATAAAAAAATAATTAAAAAAAAAAAGAAAAAAAGAACATACAACATTCAGCCAAAAAAAAAGAAAAAAAAAGAAAGGAAATCAGACATGCCCAACGAGAATGAATCTTCCTCGATTCACTCACACAGAGAGAGAGAGAGAGAGAGAGAGAGAGAGAGGACATCAGGGAGTTTCTGACGCCGAGTTTGGTCCAGTTTATCTGTGTGTGTGTGTGTGTGTGTGTGTGAACATTAAAATGCAAATGAATCTTCCTTGATGACGTGGAGGATTCATTTGCATTTGAACGTTGACAGAGAGAGAGAGAGAGGGCGTCAGGGAGTTTCTGAAGCCAAACTCAGCGTCAGAAACTCCCTGACGCTCTCTCTCTCTCTCTCTCTCTCTCTCTCTCTCTCTCTCTCTCTCTCTCTCTCTCTCTCTCT